ATTTCCTCCTAAAACTAAGCCTGGGTAACTGAGGTAGACTCTGGAAGTAACAAGTGCAAAGATTCAGGTTTTCCAAAGGGCAATATTTACCCATTTCAGAGGTTGTCAAACAAAAGTGCGTTTTATAGTCTTGAACACAAAATCAAATGGGAGCCCGTTTATTGGAAGAAAACCTCTACGCTAATTCCCTATTTGTTGTGCCAAATTCCCAAAGGTATAACAACCTACACACTGCTGGGGACAAAGCAGTATCTAGTTGATTTATAGACATAAATGAAATAAGGTTGATCAAGAAATAAGAATGGGAAAATAAAACGAATAAGTGACATTACCTTAATAGTTTTCCTTTTTTTTTTTTATTAATAAATCACTTGGAAATTTAGAAACACCATAGAGCTAACGAGTTGTCCAGAGCCAAAAAAAACCTAATAAATATTTCAAGAATTATTGTTAATCTGTGAATGTTTAAAGATGTATCTATTATCTTAGGGATTTTATTTTTAACGTACTCCCACAGTTTCCACATTAAGAAACAAAATTAAAAGCAAATGTCCTTAGGGGCGCCTGGGTGGCTCAGTCGGTTAAAAGCATCCTACTTCAGCTCAGGTCATGATCTCACAGTTTGTGGGTTCGATCCTCTGTCTCCTTCCCTCTCTGCCCCTCCCCTGCTCACGTGCTCTCTCTTAAAAATAAATAAACGTGGGGCGCCTGGGTGGCGCAGTCGGTTAAGCGTCCGACTTCAGCCAGGTCACGATCTCGTGGTCCGTGAGTTCGAGCCCCGCGTCGGGCTCTGGGCTGATGGCTCAGAGCCTGGAGCCTGTTTCCAATTCTGTGTCTCCCTCTCTCTCTGCCCCTCCCCCGTTCGTGCTCTGTCTCTCTCTGTCCTAAAAATAAATAAACGAAAAAAAAATAAAAAAAATAAATAAACGTTTTTTAAAAAAAACCAAATGTCCTTAAAAATTAAATAAATAAGTATGAAAAGCCCAATTTGAAGGTATAAATAGATACATATAGTAATTATAATGGAGTTTCTAGCTTTCTCTGCAAAAATTAGTGGAGATGAGAATATAACATTTGGGGCTCACGTACTTTTGTTCCCTAACAAGCCCTCCAACTGTAATTCCTATTCTTTTCTGTTATGACAGATTTTTAGACTCACATAAATATTATGTGCATCACAGATTAAGTGGTATGTAAAAAATATACAATCGAAACAGTTAAGGAACAAAAGTTACAAAAAAATGTTAAAAGAATAATTACTACTGTTTCACGCAAGTTAATGTGGCCCTTTCTCGGAAAAGGCCAGAAAATATCCTTAACATTTTATGCCTATCACACAGGATACAAGCTAAGGTGATTTATCACTTATGATGAAGGAAAGAGTGGGGCCCTACTATTACACAAAAAAGATGCAATAATCAAGATTAACACTGAAGAAGCCAAAGCCCACACAATGTGAAAATACCTGCCTAAGCCCTTCACTCTAGCTGCAGTCAGAGTGGGGGAGAGTGACACATAATTATGCCAACGGGCTCCTGTTTTACAATTCCTGTCATAGATTCAAGAGTGTACATATAAGAAACCTCCAAGGCAAGGGTTAACAGCAACTCAAGCTGTGCAAAACCCACAGAATATCAATAACTTTGTGTTCAGAGGAGTCAGGTACATTAGCCAAGTGGCAGAGTGACAGTCACATTATAAATCTGGGCTGTTAACACACATTTTATTCTTGACGTGGTTGTATGTTTGTTCATCGGAGATTCACCAGATATTTGCTCCCCCCCTTTTTGAGTAATTAGTGGTTTCAGCCTATACTTTGACAGTCAAATATCACATCATAAAAACTGTAATCTCAGGGGCTCAACTGAAGCCCATAATTATGCAGCTAGACCACATGTTTCCTGTTCCAAGCTGTCTTGGTAGTTCAGAAGATAGAAGTCCAAGCCCAAAGCGTGTTTTTGATCATTCTAGAATTTCTACACTGCTACTGACTAGAAGATAAAAGTCTGTGATACCATCGTCTATTTTCCTGCTTCGATTTCTAGAAGGTTTCAGCCTACAGTTAAAAGCCATTTATCTGGCGCATTTCATCAACACAAATTTCCTTTAAAAAATAAAGTGATTGTGAGAGCAAAATGTTCACAATAACCACGGAACGTGCATAACACGATTACATGGGTACGTGTTTACCGTAAACATGAACTTTAGCAAATGATTCATGAAAATAGCCAGATCTATAATAGTGACCTTGTTCAAACAAGTTTCTTATTTTGAAACATTTCAAGGAAAAAGAGAAACACCTGTAAATATTATCTTTCCAAAGCACACACAGATTACTGCGCCTCTCCTTTTATGATGTGGGCTCATCTCATTAGTTGGAGCCAGAGGCCACACGGTGTAATTATACAAAGGGCCCAGAGTCAGTACTGCACGACAACTTGGCCCAACTCTGTAAGCCACAGAGCTCCCCCTCCAAGGGTCTTGTACACAGTAAGCAACCAGTGCAAGGTGGCTGAACAAAGGGACTATCTGATCGGGTATGTGCAAGACAGAATTGCACAAAACTCAGTCCTAACATCACTTTGTTGCAGAGCCCAAAGCACTCATGTTTTCAGATGAAGTAAAGGAACCAAATCCTTCTAATTTGATAACGCGACACAGAAAAAAAGCAAAAGACAACAATTTTCTCATTCTGGGTAAGGCAACACCCTGCCTTGCAATAAAGACAGTGGACACAGGATGTACAGTAAAGGCCAGATAGAAGACCTGGGGAAGCTCCTTGGGATCCTTTAAGGGGTTTAAGAAATACAAAGCATTGGGGCGCCTGGGTGGCTCAGTCAGTTGAGCGTCCAGCTTCGGCTCAGGCCATGATCTCACGATTCATGAGTTCAAGCCCCACATTGGGCTCTCGGCTGGCAGCCCAGAGCCCGCTTCAGGTCCTCTGCCCCCCACCCCCCGACCACCCCCGGTCTCTCCGCCCCTCTCCCACTCACTCTCTCTCAAAGATAAACAATGAACATTAAAAAAAAGAAAGAAAAAAGAAATACAAAGCATTTGCCATCCACTGACAGAGCAAAATGAGAAATGAGGGAAATAAAAAAGCACAGCTGACTCTCAACAAAGCAGATAAGCTTCCAGGAAGCTTGAGTGTCCAAATACTACTTAACTGATAGTTTTTTAAAAATCACGATCACCATGCTATTATCCGTGAAGAATTTTAAAAAGAAGAAGAAATACATACCAACACGAATAACACAAAACCTAGAAAAAGGGTCTAACTAGTCAACCAAAATAGAAGTTTTAGCAATCAAAACACAAATGTTTTAACGACTGCCCCTAGGACTTCAGGGGGAAAAAATATGTTACTAGACGGCAACTGTTTGCAAGATTATCTTAGTGTGATCATTTATTTCTTTATTTTAAAAGGTCATGAATAAAATAAAACTTATTTCAATTTTTTTAAATGAATTAAATAAAAAAGAGTTAAAATAAAATTACGACGCCTTATGATTTTAACTCTTATAATCTATACCTCAGGGAAGTAGGGGGTAATTTATAGCATTCTATAAAATACTGGAGTTTAGAATCAGACTTAAGTTATCTGAAAATTATGCAATTCTTAGTAGGGGGAAAAAAATCTCTTAAAGCAAGATACTAAGAGGGTTTTTTTGTTAGGTATCTAAAAAGTTCTATTATTTTTAGTTTTAAACCAGTGGCTGCTCTCCAAAATTGAGAATTCAAGATCTCATCAAATACAAATTTTAAAAAGCATCACCATTAAAGCATAGGATGCCCAACCAAAATGGGATAAATGTAATTTAAAACAACTAACACCAGGATATTTTACTTGTGATTAGACACATCTACTTTTTCTGGCCTCTTTTGACCGTGACATGTGCATGTCAGATTTCTATCCTAATCTTATCCTAATGTACACTTGTGGTGTACAAGTTCTCAACCTAGACAAGGAATAATTCTAACATTTTCAAATGAACATCATTCATTATGTACAATGTTATTGTGTTAAACAAGCTATCTGGATAAGTATAACGATTTCTGTTTTGCTTTGCATTAGCCACAAAAGAGTGGACTTGTTTCGAACACCCACGCATTTATTTAGTATATGAAAGTCAAGTTCAGCAAAAATCAAACATTGCTAGAGCTGAGGAAAGTAAAGGTCTTATCTATTTGAATGTATTGAAAGAAAAGCGAAAACAAACCCAGAAGTCTAGAATGAAGAAATGCATCTGATGCAATCACTACATTCTTCCCATCCTTCCAACGTGAAATGTTAAGTACCAGCAAAAAATACTGAAGCCCAGAGACACCGCCTGACAAAACGTCTCAAAGACCACGAGGCATGAGGATATGTAAAGCTGAAGAAATGATGAGATGGCTAACAGAAGAAATGGTGGGGGGAGGAAGGGTTAAAATTCAACCATATGATAGACGGCAACAGTAAGAGTTGAATTCTAAAGGTTTAACTAACGAGTTCATTATTTAATTCCAAACTCTCGTTTTTAACAACGAATGAGGAATTTGACACAAACGCAGTGTTGCCGTTAAAAGTCAACGTATCTAGGTCCCTCGTGTTCAGAGCAAAGAATAGAAGAAAACAAAGCAAAAAAACCCAACAGACGCACGTGAGAAAAAGAGGTCCCTCTAAACCTTTTGTAAACAAGTTTCTACAAGAGCATGCGGAGTGCTTCCTTCGGCCTCCCCGACACCTTGGTTTGGATGTGCACTATTCACATGTGCACATGTGGATACCAGCGCAAAGCCAGATGGTGGAGACTACCAGGCTCTCTATGTAAGCTCTTCTCATTTCTCAACTACGGTTATACTCTCGGTGGTTTGGGTTTTTGTTTTTGTTTTTTTTTTTCCTGTAAGGGAAAAATCTCTCCAATGAGAAGTTTTAAACCTGTTTTTAAAAAAAACTGCAGGGAATTTCTTCACATTTTATAAGTAAAAATACCAGAAATGAAAGAGCTGACAGAAATTCAAGCAGATCCAAATTCAACCATCCATTTTTCATACTTCTCCAAGTCTGCAGCAGAGACAGACTTAGCAATTTTCTTAAGAGCCAATTCAAAGTCTCCTTTGGTAACAGGCATCTGAAGTTCCTCTTTAGAAAGTGCACGGATCTCTTCTGGACCTAAGCCATTGATTCGCCGTCTCATTGCCATTAAAGAGGCATCCCTAAAAACATACAAAATCAGTGAATACATACTGATGTAAATGTTTTAAACACTTTCAACTGTAAGAAAGTTAACACCAAACATTCAAAAGATCATTTTCTATGTTTTTACGATGCTGCTCAGAATTTCCCATTTTAGAGCTATCTGAGGGTGCAAGAAAGGTTAAAACAGGATGTAAATGACTTAAACGTAAAATGTACTATTAATGAATCCAAAAAGTCTAGGTTAGGCTCAGCTAGTACCAAATTTCCTTTTCCTCACTTGCTCTTCAAAGACAGCCAAGAAAGTTAGGAAACAGAAGTGAATTGTGAACTACTGAATTGCATACTTGAAAATGAACACATGGCTAAGGTTAACATAATTCAAATCTTACACCAGTTTGTCTATAACCTAATTAGAGGAGGTAAAGCCAGGAAACTCCTTCTTTGGAACATGAATGTATCTACATATAGTGGATGTGGAATTCTCCACATGGAGCATTGCTGGGCTACTAAAGGGATAAAATCTAGCTCTTCCAGATCTTATTTTCAGCTCCACTCTGATCAACTGTAAATTATTATCAAGGTTTAGAAGAGGCAGATAATGCTCACGAAAAAGCTAATAGGAAGCCAACCCAACCAAAACTTCAAAATTTTATATATTTTATTATAGTGATACTAGAAACTACTGTGAGATTATGTGCCGCTAAACTTAGACGCACATGAAAAATACTAGTATACAGAGTGAGAAACAACAGATGTTATAGTTTTAAAGAAAGGCTACTGATGTCAATTTCAGTACAGTTAAGAAGGTGACAACTAAAAGCAAATCCTGTTGGGGCGCCTGGGTAGCTCAGTGGATTGAGTGTCTGGCTTCGGCTCCCGTCATGATCTCACGGTCCGTGGGTTCGTGCCCCACATCGGGCTTGCTTGCTGTCAGCCTGTCGGCACAGACCCCCTTTCTGATCCTCTGTCTCCCGCTCTGCTCCTCCCCCACTTGCACTCTCCCCTCCCCCCCCAAATAAATAAAAGAAAATCCTCTTCTTTGAGTGATGTAAATTGTCTATAAATTATTATGTCACTAAATTGAAAGGGAAATATGTAATATATACTTATATAACATAAGTATGTATTTCCCAGCTTAAAAGGATTGAGTGATGTGAATTATCTACAAATTATGATGTCACTAAATTATGATGTTAATAAATATATAAGTATATATTATATATTTCCCAGCTTAAATTGATCAACTTTGCTTGCTCTTCTGCATGTGGTAAAATAATACTAACCAAAACGAAATATTATTTTATGTTGACGCAGCTAGGCTCCAATTTAGGGCTAAACTGACCTTAGCTTGTCAAAATCATTATTACCAAGTAAAATTTCTTAAAAACCAAAGAAAGAAAAGGGGACCATATTGTTATATATTTATTCATCTAACAATGACCAATGAAGCTATGTAAAAAAAAAAAAAAAAAGAAAAAGAAGACAAATGAGAAACGATTTCAAGGAAATGGACTGCTGCTTTCACGTCAAAGGTTTTAATAACTATACTGCCTTTAAGACCAGTCCTCATGTCAAATCTATACCTGATATCTAAAAGTCACAGACTATTAAAAAAAAAATACCTGCAAACATTAGTTATATCAGCACCAGAATAGCCCTCAATCTTTTCTGCTATATCTTCCAGCTGAATGTCAGGATCCAGTTCAACCTCACGAAGATTGATCTTCAGAAGCTCAGTTCTTCCTTTTGCTGTTAAAAGATTTTTTTGTTGTTACTGTTAGATGTTTTACTTTACAAATCATTTTGATGAGAAATCGCATATCAACATTTAGGAAAAGAAAGAGACTAATGCAAAAAGGAGTCAATAACTTGAGTTCACCTAGTATCACCAACTCATTGCATGACTCAGAATTATTTAACTTCCTATGTGCCTTGGCTCAATAACTAAAAATTGAAACAAAACTCAGAGTTTTAAATACAGATTGTGAAATATAGGAAATATAATGACTTCAGAGTAAATATTCTTAAGATATAAACATATATATTCAAAAAGGTGTGAAGAAGATTGTGAAATACAGATTTGAGAACAAAGGGTCTGTGATCCCTCATGAAAAATAAAATCCTTATTAAAAATAAAATCATTAATACTCAACATTAATATTCAAGTACCAGACATTCTTTTAGTAAAACAACATTTGGCCTAGTTTTATAAAACTATAGACTACGTGGACTAACTCCTGTGAATCACTTTGCTCACCTTTTAGTGTGATATAGAAAAGATTTCCTATGATAGAGGAAATCGGCAATCGTCGCAAAAAACATATTAATGTATTTTTACTTGGAGAGCTAGCCCACAGACATCTAATGTTCCAGTACGATGAGAATGTGTACTGTGTAAGCTCTAATGAAGTACAGAATTATTTAAATAACCAATCATGCTTGCTTTTTTTACCATCAGTTTTAGTGGCAAATTCGCTATTTAATACAGCACACTAAGAGAATGCAAACTTAGGTTGGATCTGGCTTTCTACTATTTCCTGATATATCAAATTAAATTTAATTTTCTCCAACTTTTCTTTTGAAAAGTTTAGATTTACTTTAAATCTACAGTTTAAAAAAAATCAGTGAACGCCCATTTATCTTCCATCTAGACTCATCAATTGTCAACATTTTGCCATTATCACTCCCTTCTCCTCCTCCCCACTGCTTTCTGAATTGGGAGCTAGCTGTAGGCAATCACGCTTCATCTTAAATTCTTCAGCATGTACATCCTAAGAACAAAGGTATCCATTCAACTATCACACTTGCCAGGAAATTTAACATTGGTACATTAGAATCATCTAATAGACAATCCAGATTAAAATGTCCCCATTTTCCCCAGGACTTTATAACTTTCTTAAAAACCATCACACATTGTATTTAGTTATCTCTTTAGTCTTCTCGCTCATCTCTTTAGTCTTCTTTAATCTAAAGCAGTTCCCCGATGTTTGTTTTGTATTTCATGACATTGACAATTCCTCCAAATGATCATACAGCATATAAAAATGCTTTTGCATTCCAGTAAAGACCACAACAATTTTGTTTGTGGATCTGAACAGTCAGATACTGAAATGTTTATGGCAATGGAAAGAAACAAGAACAACTAAGACAGTCTGGAAAAACAGTAAGATGGGAGGAACTGCTCTATCAGAATTTAAGACTTATTACAAAGCATTAGGACTCAGGTAAATAGATCAATGATACAGAATAGGGAGCCTAGAAGTAGATCAAAGCATTACACTATGGATACCTGATTTATGACACAGGTGGTTCCAGCAGTGGGAGAAAGGATCCCAGAACTGCTATTTACTG